CTTCTACAGAACCTGTATTTTCTCCGACCTTCAGTTTTAGTTTAGCATTGTTTCAAACTATCCTGTGTGTCAGTAAAATAATTCCGTTTTGACTTGGCTTTTCCACAATTATATGTTACTATTCAAAACAAATTAAATTTTAAAGTTAATATGTATACTGTCCTTTTGAAGATACCTAAAGCAATAAGCCTGATAGAAAAGTTGAGGCTGGATCCCCCCTAACAGGTTGAGTGCCCTGAAGGACATCAGTAATAGCTGAACCCTCACTTTCAGCCTCCCCCATTCCTTCACCCTGGCTTCCTTATCTCATTCTACCTCCATCTCTTCCCAAGTGTTTCAGAAAATGTCCTCTGTTATTTCAACAAGAGAAAGCTTTGAGAACTTGAAACGCAATGTTTAAAGCCATAAACATTCCCCTCCACATTCATATGTAAATAAAGTTAACAGACCAATTTTAAATAATTAACTGTACTCCATTATATTACCTATAAATAGGGCAAAGTTTTTGAGAGTCTTTAAAGATTCTTGAAGACCTTAGAACCTGGGAAGGGCCTGACTTGATTGTGGCGCTAAGGGCCCTTACTGAGCAGGGGTCCTCCCTTTACGTCAAGATCAAATGAGGTAACGCACATTTAAGTACAAAGCCATCTGCAAATGACTGTTAAATTGCCATTCAGCGTAACAAAGGCAAATGGGGTGTAATGGCCGGTTAACTTTAGTTCCATGACGCGGGACAAGGTGGGGGTTGGGTGGCAGCACTCCGGGGGTGCGGCTGGAGGTCCCAAGTGCGGGTTTTCGGTTGGATGCGTTGGAGGTCGGGGGCACCGCCATCCGGACAAGGCGACTTCGCAGCGGGATGGTGGAGGCGCCGGGAGCAGTGAGCCGGTGCGACAGGGACAGGTGCAGCTCTTTAGAAGCGCCCCTAAGCCCAGCCACCGGTCTGGCCGGGCTGGGAAGACGGCGGGCTCGGCGCACGTGGGGAGCGTGCCCTACGCCCTGGCTCCGGTTCCTCGCTCCGCGTCCCGTCGCAGCCCGGCGTGGAGCAGGGTGGGCGCAGGAAGGCTCAGATCTCTGACCCTTGGGGTAGTCGTGTGTCCCAAGCAGGACATTGCAGCATCACCTCTCGGCTTCGGGACTCAGTGTCGCCGTTTCTCAATGCAACCAGTTTCATCTCGGCTCCCTGCACGAATGCACCGCACCTGAAAGGGATGAGCGGAGATGTCCTCCCTTCCGAGGCTGCTGTTTAAAGATCTTAGCCTGAACATAACGGAATTTAGCCATGCTAAATCGTAGGGTGTGCATTCTCCGGAGAACTCACTAAGATTCCTTATTCCCCGCCGCTGAGCGGCTGTCCGGCTCCATCGCGCTTCTTTCCCGCCCGCTCCAGAGGAGGTCGTGGAGCGGAGGTCCTGGCGATTGACTGCTCTACTAATCCTAACCAGGAAAGGAGTCGATTAACTAATAAAATAACAAGCAGCCCATTCTTGGTTAATTTTCCCTCCACTCAGGGTTAAATTGAATGCTTTGCTAGTGCTGCTTGTTTCCCGATACCGTATTAAGTAAGGCCTAGAGAGAACACGCTTTGATTTTTGGGTGAAATGGGAATATAGCTATTCGCTACTGCAAAATAGTCTGCATAACTTAGAGGTAAGCAAATTAGTGGTTAAACTTGTATTAGAGAACCCACCCAAACAATTGCTGAAATTAGGTTACATGGAATTTAAAACAAAATCTCATTGCAGGTAAATCTTCCACGTAAGAAACAAAATCCAAAAACCTTTTCCGTAAGTTTGTAAAATGTAAATAATTTATTCTCACAAAGATTTTATAGTTAGCAAAATCAGAACTGACAAACATACTAACATATTCGGTAACCAAAAACCTCTCCCATAAGCTTCCATTACTTCCTAACTTAAAAATAATATAATCAAAGTGATCTTGATCACAGTTCTCTGTGTACTGGAGAGAGCCAGGTCCTGCCCAGAGTGAGATGCAGCTCCCCATCTGAGTAGAGTCTTTTGTGTCTTCTCATCAGTTCTCACTAGCAGTAAAAAGCTACTTGTTTTCTTAATAAAATCTATCCTAGGTTTCTGTCTCATTGGGTTTGGGCATAGCAAGTGGCAGTATTTTTAAAAGCCGAAGTGAAATAATTTAGATACAGGGTTTTATCCACACGTTAGTATTGTGTTAAACAGTTGGGCAATATCATTCTCACTTTGAACTGTATCTGAAGTTTATACTGCCACCCTAAAATTCCCTTATGCACAAATTCATACTTAAAAATGCAATCTTTGGCTTTTTTTTTTTAATGTGACTGTGGTCCACAAATTTATCCTAAAAGTCCTTCTACATCATCAGTATTCAACGAAGCTAACAAAACAAGTGTTTGGAAGCTGCTTGCCCTTAGTGAGCAGGATTGAGTCTCTGATTTGCTTTAAACTGAAAGTAAACAGTCACTCTCGCAGGATGAGTTTGAACACATCAGTTGATACAAGTCTGACCGACTACTTCTTCTAAGCAAAGCCTTCAATAGAAGACAACTGGGTCACACCCCCACCCTTCCCTATACAAAACACCCTTCCTGTGGACTGCACACACTCTCACACATACAACATTTCCATCCCATCCCAACACAGACTACAGAGAAGTACCTGCGATCCCTGCTGCTGTTCCTCCTGCAATTTGATTCTGGGCTTTGATTCCTGTGTCTCAATTAGAAAAGATAAGTTAGATTATTGCAAAAATCCCCCAAACAGGAAAACATCCCATGTGCAGTTAGCATTTCTGAAATCGAGTTTGGCTGTGGCCTCGGCTCAACTTCGAGGGGCTTTGTTCCCCTCAGACCCTCCCTCTTGGTCCTGAAGACACTCATCCTCCTCTCCAGTTAATGAGTTTCACCTAGTCTGGCTGTTGGCGTTTTTTTTGTTTTTTTTTTTTACAAAAGATCTGCAAAGCGCTAATTGCAAAAGGAAAAAAAGTTCTTGTTTTGCATTAATCAGAATGTGGACTTCTAGAGTAAACATGCTTTTTAATTTCCATGTTTCAAGAATCAAGCCTTACCTCATTTCAGGATGTGCACACACATAAACGCAGCAGTTTCTGGGTGTAGAATGTGAAGCCCTCTGCAGCCGCTACTGCGGCTTGGCTCCTTCACTACTTCCCAGAATGCTGAAAGGAAACTATACGCCTGTACCACATACACTTCCAGAAAATATTGTATAACGAGGCTGTTTATTCTTAATGATCTTTTGGTACAGAGTTCCCTAAGTCTAAGGGATTCTTGGTTCCGGAAATAAATTATAAAGGAAAAAAGCTGTCCATGAAGATTTATTTTTCTAATGTTATGTTACTTGGAGCCCTTAGTCCATAAGCTATTGTTTCTGTTGCATTTGGGGCTGTTTCTGTACATTTAAATATATATCTATCATAGGATGTAAATGAAGTAAATTTTTTGAATTCTGGTACTAAGAGGGAATCAAAGCACATCAGACATAGTTTTGCTTCCTTGGTTAACATTTTGAAAGGCAATTCCAACAACAAGCAAAAACCCAATTTTTTTGTAGGCATATTGCACCATTTCATACTACTTTTTTGTTTAAATTATTCATTTTTATGTAAAATGCTTTAAAAATTAGTTCTCATTTTCCTGCATTAGTATTTTTTTTCCATCTGTGAAAGTGTTTGGAGTTTATTACTTACTATACAAAATCTAGTTTAGAGAAAGTGCACGTTTAACTGCTAAAATACCTTCCTAAGGATTCACTTTGCATTCAGAAAAATCCAAAACAAAATGAAGTGAAATAAAATGTTTGAACCTCACACGTAGGAGAGATTTGGGTTCCCTGGTAACTATTTTGAGCACTTATAAATGATGTTATGTCTTTAAATTTTCGTTATTGTTATAAGTTCATGGTTTTTTAGCTTTCTTTTAGTATTTTTACTCCAACACCAGGTTTTTCAATTATACGTTGAAATGTGTTGTAACATCATGTCAATTATTATAAAAAACTAAACAAAACTAAGTGAAAAAGAAATGACCACTTGACTTTCACAAGAAAGCACTTGTTTCTTTTGTTATATTTAAATATCCATTGAACATAGGAAATATAAATGGGCATATTAAGAGTAAATACATTTGTACAATAAAACACCAACAAAATCGGTGTGCAACCCCTGTTAAGTTTTAATATGATGGAAAAATTATTAACATTTTAGTTATTCTTTACATCCTGGCTACAATTCAATAAATTACCTTATTCTCTTCCTTCTTCTTGGCATGCTTTGAAATATAGATTAACTGATGTCAATTTTAGCAATTTTTATTGCTTCTTCTAGCATTGAATCAAGGTATCCGAAATCAGACAAGCAAATATCTTAGAAAGAGTAAGTAATATGACTACAGAAGAATGGGTGTATTTATTTTATCAGTTGATTGGGGAGACCAGATTCCATATAAAAAATAGTTTACAACCCTCCATGACGCTGCATGGTTGGGGGGTGGGAAGGATAATATGCAAACACTCATTTGCCAAATAATGATCAAAACATTTTAAAATCAGCGTTCAATTTAAAAAGCTCTACCAATCCATATAAGCAGTATTTTGATTCTTTTCATTCCATTTAATAATTCCTCTGCAATAATGCTTCTATGTGCATGATCCACCAATTTACTTCCAAACATTAATGAAATTGCACTTAAGGGGGGAAAGGGGACTCTTCGAAAATCAATCTCCCGAGATAAATTCCACTTTCAAAAAGATTATTCAAGCTGGGTTGATTTTTAGAACTACAAACACCAACAAAGTTTCCAACACTGAAAACTCAGAGAGCTTTGGCTAGGAATGTGGTGGATGTGGGCTCAGCCAGCTTTTCTCGCAACTTGGAACTTCTGGAAGGAGGAAACCACCGCCGCCGGGCCTCCTGGCAGGACACATCTGGTCCCGGAGCTGCTGCTGTCTCCCGCCCGCAGCCACGAGGTTGGACCCGCGTGTCCCTCTCGATCGCCGCACACACAGAAGCCGGCGTGGGCAGGATTCCTCCATCCATCCTCGCAATGCTTTTGCAAACCCTTCGGGGCCGCGGGCAGGCCCCCGCCCAGGGCCTCCGCGCGGTCACCACGTCCTGCCATAGAGCAGGCTGGCACCCAGCACGCCGCCGCCGCCGCCGCCGCCGTAGTCTCCCGCGGCCGCGTCCAGCGCCGCCAGGCCGCCGCCGGGGCCGTGCAGCGCGGGCGGGCTGGGCGACAGCTCCTCCAGCTCGGGCGTCGGCGCGGGCGGCTGCGGGCCGGCCTGGCCGGGCGTGGGGGGCGCGCCCGCCCCGTTCGGGCACGGCTTGCCGTCCTTGACCAGCACGGGCACGGCCACGCGGCGCGGGGACGCCGGCGGCGGCGGCGGCGGCGGGGCCAGGCCGCCGTCCTGCTGCAGCTGCTGCGCCGCCTTGTCCTTGGCCTGGCGCTTCATCTTGTAGCGGTGGTTCTGGAACCAGATCTTGACCTGCGTGGGCGTCAGGTGGATGAGGCCGGCCAGGTGCTCGCGCTCGGGCGCCGACAGGTAGCGCTGCTGCCGGAAGCGCCGCTCCAGCTCGTACACCTGCGCCTGCGAGAACAGCACGCGCCGCTTCCTCCGCGGGGCCGCCGCCGCCACGTGCAGGGGCGCCAGCGCCTTGGCCGCGTCCGCGATGCCCGCCAGCGGCCCCACGCCGGCCACGTTCACGCCCGCCGACGGCCCCATGAACCTGGAAACTGGGGAGGGGCCCCCCGGAGGGGAAGCAAGGGTGAGCGCGAGGCCCGCTTCGCACCCCGCGCCCGCCCGCACCCCTCCGAGTCCCCGGGACGCCCCACGCGCCCGGCACCCGGCACCTCCACGGACCCGGACCCCGCGCGCCCGGGACCCGGGACCTCCATGCGCCCCGGACCCGGCACCCCCACGCGCCCGGCACCCGGTACCCCCGCGCGCCCCGCGCCGTCCGCCCCGCCTCGCCCCGCGCTCCTGTCCCGCTCACTTGACGAGTAGCGCGGGTCCGCGTTGGCTCCGTACCAGCCGGCGGCCCCCGCGGCCGCGCCGCCCCGCATGCCGTCCGCGTAGGCGGGCAGCTCGCCCACGCCGCCCAGGCCGCCGTTGCAGTAGCCGCCCACGGCGCCGGCGAACTGCGGGACGCCCGCCGGCATGTGGTAGGCCGCCGCCGCGCCGTGGCCCGCCATGGGGTGCGGCTGCAGCCCCGCCACGGCCGCGCCCTGCGCGGGGGCACCGGGCGGCGCGCGGTAGGCGGCGGCCGCGGCCCCCAGGGGCGCCCCCAGGCCGGGCGGCGCGCCGTCCATGGCGCCGCCGAACTTCTTGTAGGTCTCCTCGATGGGGCTCAGGATGTCGGACACGGAGAAGGGCGTCGTATGCTTGGGGCTCAACGACATGGCTCGCGGGCCGCCGGGGAGGGGGTCCCGGGGCGGGCGCGGGCGGGACGCGGCCCCGGAGCCTGCGAGGAGGAGCCGGAGGCGCCGCAGCCCCCGGAGCCGCGGGTCTGGGGTTCGTTTCAGTCCCGCGCCGGGTTTACAACAGACTCGGGGGGCGGAGCAACAGCCCCAACGAGCAAACAATGGTCATTGGCATCTTTTTCTCTCGCCCCCCCCCCTTCCCCGCCTCCCCATAACGGAGGCAGAGAGGGTGAAGGGGGCGGTTGGATGTCTCTTGACAAGATCACCCCCCCTTTGCGGTCCGCGCGCTCCCGCCTCCGTCCTGGCCGTCACCCCGGCCCTGGAGCAGCAGAATCAGAAACCCCGAGGCCGAGGCCGGGTCCAGGCGGAGAGCGAAGGGCGTCCAGCTTCGCTGGCCCAGACCTCTGGTTTCCCAAAGCGACTTCGGAGCCAAGTCCCCTGTGATTGTGGAGGGGAGATGTGGTGCTAAATTGGGGTGGGGCGTGCAGGGCTCGCTCCGTCCTTCCCAACCAACCAACCCCCCCCACCCCCCACCCCCCACCCCCCCGCGCCCTTCACTCGATCCATCATCTACTCGTCTTTAAGTGTAAAAAAAAAAAAAAAAAAAAAAAAAAGCTCTTGGGTTCCCCGGTAAGAGCGCCTAGAGAGAAGAGGTACAATGACCGTCCTTTGCCATTGTAGGGCTCCTAATTTATGCATCTTTAGACCCTTCAGCGTCATTTTGTGGGCAACCAAACGGGCACTTCAAAATTAGCTCCAAGTATCCAAATCCAAAGAAGAGAGCAAACAGAGAGAGAGACACTCACAAACACACAGATGCTAACTTGTAAGTATTCTGTTTTTACTCGTTGGGGATGGAGGCCGAAGTTGAGGTTGGTTAAGGCAAAGAGAGTAACTTTTATTTGTTAAAATGTTACCAGTTCAATTTGCACCTGTAAAGTTCTTTACAGCTTTCTGCAGTTCAAGCAAAAAATAGATAGAGAGAGCGCTAGTCTATCGTGCTCTCTCGATCTCTCGATCTTATCTTACTTAAAGCGTCTCTTCAGTCGGGATGTCGATTGAGATAACGATACCCTCTCTCTCCCATCTCGGTTTAGGTTTCTCTTCTTCTTCTTCTTCTTCTTCTTCTTCTTCTTCTTCTCCTCCTCCTCCCCCTCCTCCTCCTCCTCCTCCTCCTCCTCCTCCTCCTCCTCCTCCTCCTCCTCCTCCTCCATCTCTCTCTCTCTCTCTCTCTCTCTCTCTCTCTCTCTCTCTCTCTCTCTCTCTCTCTCTCTCTCTCTCTCATTATTCTCCTACCACTCCATGTTCAAAAAGAAGAGGGAAAAAAACCCAAAGTACAAATATTTCTAACTGTTCATAATGTGTCCTTTTGTTATTGTCGGGGAACCTGTTTGAGGGAAAAAATATAAAATGGATGCAGAAATCAGGCGACTATGGCAGTTTCTCTTTAAAAAACAAACACATGTTATCATCATTTCATTTGCATATGTACCTGCATAGCAAAGAATATAGACACTGTAAACTCTCCATCAAATGCTTAACACCAGAAATAAGACAAAAGAAATGTGCACAGCATATTGTTTAAATTTTGAAGATGATCTTACAGTTAAAAATAATGACAAAAGGAAAATGACATTGCAATTTTTAATTTTTCCTGGAGACTAGGGCAGGAGAAAGAAAAGGAACAAGAAAAGTGCTTTGTAAAGAGAGATTTTATTGTTAAAAAAAAAAAAGGATATACACCAATCATTTCAGTATAACCGAACAGTACAAGACTTGAAGGCAGGATATGTTACCCAATCCTTTTCCTGTTGCATTTCAGCCCTTTGGGTGGAATGCCCTCAGACACTTCGCTTTTGTTGTTTTAATCATTGTTTGGTTCTTCATTTGTACTTCAAAGAATCTGCCTTTGGGTTTGGGGATGGGACTAGTAGTATAGTCACCTATGGGAAGGATGCATCTATAAGGCAAGTGTGAAAAGAAGTACTTTAAAATGCTAAAAGAACAAATCACAAGATTACATGAATTGTTTGCAGTCATCAGTTATTGACTTAGCAAAATTAGTATTGCTTCAACTTTAACATGATGCTATTTTTACAGGTCTTTCCTGGACTTGAAACACTGGGGCTAGTTCTTCATTCTCACATGCACTGGAATTGCCTATTTTTTTCCTTCTTATTAGTGATACACAAAGAAGCAGTTATGTGTGTATTTAAGTGGTTGCTGGAATCCTGAAAACTGTAGCTTGTTTTAAGTTTTGGTTTAATTCAGTGTTGTTTACTTGTGTAAGCTTAAATAAAAAGAAGTAGAAAGTCATTCCATTCAAACTTCCCTCAGAGATACCCGGGTCAGAAAAAATGGTGGTTGTAACATATGTGGCTATACAAATCACTTGCAAACCATTATATTTTATTTTTCAAGATCAAGCATGTTTCAGAAATGAAACCCATGATCATAACCTTCAAATTGATTAGTTATCCAAATTGAATACATGTTTACAATTGTAGTCCCCTCCCAGACTACTTACTGTGTTTTCAGGCTATGTGTTTTATCCCATGTAGTTGTTGTTGTTGGTGGTGGTGGTGTGTGTGTGTGTGTGTGTGTGTGTGGTTTGTTTTTTTTTTAGGACTTCAGGATAACAGTTCACATAAGTGGTTAATACCACAAGTTGTTGCTCACTTTGTTTTTCAACACAGTGGGCACAGGTACATTACATCTGAAAGGTTCCCATTTTTTAAGTCAAACAGCTCTTTGTCATATCTGGGGGCTCTCTGCAGAGTCACTTTCTGACTGCTTGGGGACCTTACACCTTAAATGGTACTCCTTCACTGGTGAGTAGTTCTGGGTGGGAAGAAAAACCCACAATGTTTACTATTTCTCCCTATCAAGTGTTTGTTTCTTGTTCCAGAAATTATGTACTTCCATGCTGGGCTTTTTGGATGTGTGCAGATGATTCCAGAAATAGATGTAGTCTGGAGCAGCGGTTGCCAACCTTTCGGACCCCAGGGACCACCAGTGGTCTGAGGACCACCATTTGATGACAGCTGGTTTGGAGGATGCCTATGTACATTTATAGAAACAAATTAAAATCCAATTAATTTTTCATCAAATTATTGTCTGCCAAAATTATGTATGGAAGTTCATACTCAGTAGACTATTAAATATTATTGATGAAATTAGATTCCGTAGGAAATGTATTTCTAAGGAGTGTGTTCTTCCCTTAAGAACAAGGAAAGGAAACACTCAGAAGAGAAAGCAAATGCTGTCAAAGGGAATACAGGGAGAAGAGATGTCCCTCCCACCCTATCTTCCATCCTAGTGTCTCTCCTCAGAGGCACCCGTACCTCTGTTCCCTGTTTCTTCTGGGATGTCCTATACATCTAGAAATCTACTACCATTTTACACACAAGAGGTACATGTTCTATATTGTTTGGTACCTTTTTATAGTTTGGGTTTTTGCAATTTTACATGGCACACTTACCTCTGAAAACTTAATAAATGGGCTGTGCAGATACAGAACGTTTTCATGAACAAAAATATTCAGTAGGACTTCTTGGCTTTATGACAAAAATGTGGTATGTATTTGTTGAAAATTTCTGATGGGTTAGTTAACCTTCGGGCCAAAGATATTTGGCAAAATAATGCTGCACTAGGAGCCTTCCCTTGAGTTGAGACTTGCTGTTGTCAGACTGAAGCTTAGAGAAGAGCCTGAGGACTTGATGGAACGTGTTTTTCTAGGGTGGCAAACAGATTTCTAACGTGTAATGAATTTACTTATAAAGACAAACTGTATTTGAAACTAGAACTTTCTGCTTGGTGCTAAAGAAGATAAGTACCTTTTAGAAATGAAAGACTTGAAACATCTGTGATTAGTTTAAAACAGTTGTGTAATTTAATTAACAAAATCTTCATTTTTTTGGAAGTAGCTTTAAATTATCACCTGTGCACGTGGGAAGGAATAAAGAAATATGTCAGGGTACTAGTGTTTTGTACCAAATTTTAAGGTTCTAAAGAGGAAACAAAATTGCTGTAGAGATGAAACACAGATTAATTATTTTTAATATTTTTGCCAATTTCACCAGTGTCTAAAATCTGGTTCTTATTTCTTTTAAGTCCTCCTAAAGGCTTTTTGTTTGAATGTTCACTTCAATTACTTTTGAATCTATGATAATTTTACGTGTGTATTTATATGACTCTATTATTTCTATGTGACACAGTCATCCTTTCATATTTTCTTCACAAAATGTAATTCTTATAATTTAACTCCTATAAAAACTCATTTTAAAAAAAAGCATATTTTGTTGATTTTAGATAGGAAGGGAGAGGGAGAGAGAGATAGAAACATCAATGATGTGAGAGAATCATTGATTGGCTGCCTCCTGCGAGCCCTGCACTGGAGATGGAGCCTGCAGTCCAGGCATGTGCCTTTGGCCAAACCTGGACCCTTCAGTCCCCAGGTCAACGCTCTATCATTCAGCCAAACAAGCTAGGGCAAAAACTCTTGATTCATCCTCTTCTGAGATTAGATTGAAAATAGTGAGTTAGTTTTTGATCAGTTAATTTATTTTAAATTAACATGATTATTAGTGCAATGTGAGAATGAATGGTAAGTGTCAAAGACATCACTGTTGTTGAAGTCATTATAATAATGAGTTCAATTAAATGATTCCTAAAAAACAAGAGCTAGAAGTCTCCTACCCTTTCCAGGGACCCGTTGTAATACTAGTTTTTACAGTCACAGTAGAAAATAACATTAGGCTATCCCAGCCGTGTAAACTATTAAACTTTCCTAGTTTGTCACAACTCTCTCACCCTAGGATTGTGAGTTTGAACTAGAAATTTAATTTTTATAACATTATTTTTACATGGCATGGAAAACAATGGCAATGTTTTGAACAAATTTACTTGTACATCTTGCTGACACAGAAAGTTTAAAACATTTTAGAATATAATGGCATTTTAATTGAGCAATGTCTTTGATAGTTTTTACATGTTTTGTAATGTCGTTAAATGGCTTTTCTATAGA